TGACCGTTTGTGCTACCCATTACAAAAGGCCACCGTTTGGGATCAACCGCCCCGTCTGCTGCTTCTTGTCATGGGGCGGCAAGCTATTACAAGTGGTAGATCTTTTGCGTGGCGTCGCTTGTTGCACTCGATTACCGCCTAGCCGAATGAGTCTGCTTCATCTGAACCACGAGAAACGGAGCACTTCGTAGCCAGTTTCAGGCGAAACTTCCTGTGGTGGACCCATCCTGCTTGGCCACGGTACCAAGCATCCGTCATATCTCTGTAATCCTGCAATCAACGACAGTCGCTCCCTGCTTCGCATTGTGTAGTACTGTAAGCTGTGGCGGCCTGTGTGCGCGAACGATCTCCCGTGACGGTAAGCTAACTGGATCTTGATTTTGTCTTGCGGGTAGGACCTGGAAAACGGTGATGCGTCGAGATTTCCCAGATCTTGATAACAGGTCAGGCATCTCGGCCCTATTCACATCAGTTGCTGGCTTCCAACTAGTAGGAGCCCATCTGATGTCTCTCATATGGGTTACATCATCATCATCTTGGCCCATCAACTTGCAACATACATACCGTAGCAGAAAGTGAAAAATCAGAACTACAATAGCCCATGCTCTCACACCTGCCTTACCCCAGAGCTTTCTGTGCACCAAAAGCGTATTCCTGTCCGCTCAGCTATCAGGGCTGTACTGTAAAGTTGCAGCACACACAGCGTTGTGGTCCCGTCCCGTTGGTTTGCCTGCCGTATTAGCTCGAGGACCGTCCGAGCTTCCAGGTCCGATCCCTCACTTCGCTGCCGATTTCCCCTAGCCGTCCGTTTTGTGGTCCTGGATCAAATCGAACGAGAAGCCTCCCCTTCCACCCACCGTGTCGTCGGTGTCAAGAGACGGCCTGGGCAAGGTACAGACCGGGTTTCTCTGATAGCGACACGCCTACCCTTGCCATGCCCTACCCATCTTGCCCCTAGTAATCCCTCCCTCCCCTTCCTGTTCTCTTGTCATCGCAAAACCCCGTGCTGTTTCCCATCTTTCGCATGAGTCCGCCGGTACCTTTTCCTCTTTCTTGGTTTCCTTTTCCCCCATAACAAGCTCCTCAACCCCCAAATCCGCGCCTTTCTGCCTACACCCCCCATCTGCTCAACCAAGATACCCTAAGCAAGGTCGATAAACATTCCGTTAAATCTGGGTCCCAAGTGTGCTAGAAGGGGACCACGAAGGGGAGAAAAGGGTACATCAGACATACAGTGCCGCGGGGCATGTTGAAACCTTGCCATTCCGTTCAAGGAGAGATGCTGACAAGCAGTGTGTCCCCGTCATAGCACCACCACCGAAACCTAACCAGTCCCATGTTTCTGTCTCTGCCGTGAGAGAGTCTCCGGCATGGTTGTGTCCTTTCCATCCTAAAAGCACCCAATCTCGATTCCCATACTTTCGTACCTCGCTGCCTTCTCCGCTGACGCCTCTCTGGGAAGATCCATTGGCCATTTGCAGTCGCCTCGATTGTACTATTTCAGAGCCGATAGACCGCGATCACTCTTGGTTCTCGGTCACTGGAAGAAGCCCAGAACCCCTGAGGCCTTAATCCTCTCTTCTGTACCAAGTATTTCCTTGGCCAGCAGCTCCAGTGTCTCGTACATACAGTACCCTTGACAACCCTGCTGCTGCGGATCGAGATGCTCGACTTTGCCAAAGAAGGTGGCGAAGCTTGCTTGAAATAGGCTCGCTTACTTTTCGCCTTTTCTGATATCAAATCTCCCGAACCGTACGTTTGTGCCCAGCCAAGGGCGTGCCGGGTTCGAGTTTATTCATCAGACAAGACACTCCTGTGTCCTCGACGGACATTAGCCCGTTGTGTTCGACCATATTGACCAGAAGCTCCATCTTCAGAGCTCGGCTCACCGTCCCGGCTGGCTGGAACTGAGAGATCGATCTTGTACTGATCGATGACGGGATTCCGTATCCATCGGGAAACTGTTCACATTCCCTGGATCCCACAGTTGATGGTAAAGCCTGCCGTGCCACGAAGAACAAGTTGCTCTTATCTGCAAATTCACGACGCGCCACCACGCCCTGGTGGTTTTTTGCTTGGAGACAGCGCAAGTCGACGCTGAACGCCGTCGTAAAGCCCTCGTCAATAGAGGTCGTCAGCCACTGATCAAAGAGAGGGCCTCGTTGGGCAAGCAAGCCCGTATCAATATACTCACCCGGCTAAAAGAGGTTTCTCCCTCGACCTCGGTGGACGGCCATACCAATCAGCTCGCACCTCGGCTCCGCACCCGCAGTTGGATGCCAGCCCAAAATGCCGTCAAATCAAGCGAGCATCGAGCTGGAGGAAATCTTCAAGGAGCTCGGCATCTCGCAGTATCTTGACGCCTTTGTTGAACATGGCTTTGACACTTGGGACACCATCCTCGATATTCAAGAGTCTGATCTGTGGGTAAACTGCTGCGGTGGCGTGTGATGTAGTCTCAGCAAGGCTAACTAGACTCCCAGCGATGCTTTAGGGGTCAAGCTCGGTCATCGGAGAGTAAGTATTCGAGTCGCAGAGCCGTGAGAGGAGTACTGACCGCGGACATCATCAGAAACTTCAACGGCGAATCGCCAACGCAAGGGGAATCGACCCCAGCATCTCATTGTCGTCGGTACAAGCTGCCATCGAAGATGAAAAGTATGACGGGTCTCATAGAAAACGAGAAGCCCCCTGCCATGCTGGAAATGGCGGAAGCAGTACTGCGAAGCGCAAATACCGCCGGCATCCTAAGGTATAGCTCAATCAGTCAAGCGGCCACCCCTCGGGCCAGATTGCTAATGCCTTCTGTCCTTAGCCCGACGAAAACGCGCCTCCACGGCCCATGAGCGCATATGTGCTCTTTTCGAATAGTGAGTTCCAATGTTGTGCCCCCCGCTGCCCTTTGTGTTGGCAAGATCGAGACTATTTGGCTGACCAAACACGGTAGAACTCAGAGAGGATTTGAAAAAGGACCCTTCTCTCTCCTTTGTAGCAATAGCCAAGCTCGTAGGGGGCAATTGGCAAAACCTCCCATTGCAAGAGAGAGAGTATTATGAAGCCCAGGCGAGAGCGGATAAGGAGCGCTATTATCGAGAGATGGCACTCTACAAGCAGACTCCGCAATATCAAGAGTACATGAAGTACCTCCAAGACTTCAACGAGAAGCAAGCCAAACTCAGGCGAGGTCCGTGGTTCCTTGAATCGGTATTGTAGCCGTGGGGTGGGTACAGTTGAAGCTGATGTTTATTTCTGTGCCGGCTAGACCAAGAGAATGCCAAACGAACAGCCATGCGCGGCTCGACCTCAACAGCGAGTGGCAGCGGCAGTAGCAGCGAGAGAATGCGAGAAAGCGAGTCTCGCGAGCCCCCTAGCCTTCGACATAACAGCTCGAATTCGATGCCCTCTCCTTCAAGGACCCATCATATCACGGCGGGCACCGGGACGTATGCAGGGCTGACACAACCAAATGGCGACATACCCACACAAAGCGAATCGCGCTCTCGACGACGATATTCAGCAGAGAAGGAGAGGGAACACCAGACCGACACCCCGCAGCAAGTTCTGCCCTCAGTTTTCGATCTGCTGGCCGATAGACAAGGTCAGCCGAGCGCCCCAGTGACAAACAACTCCGGACTCATGCAAGGGCTGGCGCCAGCCGATCATGGCAGGCGGTCTATATCCCACGGCACACCCTCGTGGCCAGTCGACTCAAGGCCGTCCCTTCATCACGAGCCATCTTCTGCTGGAAGCAGTATACCGACTGCGTCGTCAAGCAGTCTGAGTAGTAGATTAAGCGCTGGCCATATGCCAATCCATGCGCTCTTATCGTCGGATGAAGGTCAACCGCCCCAGCGCATTGACGATATTCCAGCATATACGTCCCACTATGTTTCCAGTCCAATTGAGCAGAAGAGGCCGTCCATGGAGTATCAGGGGCCTAAGGGATACGGTATCCATCCCCCCAAGTGCCCGAGTATTTGGAGAAAAGCTGCTAACATGAGGTGCCAAAGGCTTCCAGACCGCTTCCTCGGCGTTCCAGCATATGAGATTCGAGGAGACAAGCAACGGGGATGTGCTGATGACTTCGGCAAACGAAACGCCGCCTAGCGCCTCTCCCATGAGCGTTAGCGGGCTTGATGGGGTGAACGCTCTATTAAAAGCTGGCGAAATCGTCGGCCATCCTCGCCAAATCTAAATTCTTTTCTTCTCTGGTCGAGTCAAGTGGTGTTGTCGGAGGAACTCGCAGACTTGTAGCGGTCTGCTATCGAGGACCACTTGCCTGGTTGACTGTGGTCATCGCATGGAGCTGTCACAGAGAAGGCGAATACATTTGCAACGTCCTTCATTCTGCTGTTTGCGAACGTCTCGCACATCGTCGGAAATCCGTTCAGATACCCCTCAGGCTGATTCGTGGTGGGAAGCTGGCAGTGATGGAGAGAGGAAAAAAAGTCGACTCTGGCCATAACAACATCATCAGGAACCGGAGCCAAAGGCTTTGAGCTTTCAGAGACGATGCTGATCCACGGCCTCACCTTGCATTTCCCTCTTCGTCCTCCCGCTTCTTTTTCTATTCTTCTTTCGTCTCCCGTCTTTTTTTTTGGTCTTTCCTCATTCTTCATGTCGTTTTTATATTGAGAGACCGAATGGCATTTGGATCGGCGTTGATATGGATTGGTTCAAGTCTGACGTGGTCAGAGGTCAAGACATGAGGTAGGAGGAAGGGAACAGTCATGTGAGGCAGGAGCTCTTACTGCTCGTACTAGCAGAGCGCCTGCCCCGATAATGGGGGGAAAAAAAGGGAGCCTTACCTTATCTCCCGATAAGATACCCGCTCAGGTATCTCAGCATTGTCTTGGGCTCTTCTACTTCATTTTCACAACCTGGCAATTCGGAAGTATATGACATCAAAAAAAGGGATGAGGTAAACACGACATCGTTCATCATATAACTCATTAGAGGCTGTGGGCCATCATCTCGAGGTAATTGACAAGTTACACGGCACCTTCTGTGATTTCTGCCGTCCAGTCTCTTCGAATATCCAGCTCGTTCAGTCCCTCCGTGTTTTCGATGACAAGCCCCTTTTCGTTGGCCAGATGAAGCAAGCAGATGAAGCAGTACGACGTGGAGATATCGGCCATGACAGGCTTGGGGTACACTGACTGCAGCGAGTTCATCACCTCGGTGAACTTGAGGGTGGTCTCCTCCCCTGAGCTTGGCGGCGACATTGTCGGCCCAGTCGAGGCTGACAGCGGCTGCTCGGCGGGTTTCTGTGTGACCTGGTGGTTAGCAAGCTGGGGGATGAAGAAGCTCAAATGACATGACACATACATCTAACTCTTCCAGGCCCTTCCACAGGTTCTCCTTGAGGCGGCGCACGTCCACCTTCTTGGCGACCCTCGCATATTGGACGTATTCGGGACGCACACGGCGTGTCTGGGTGATGAGCGTCGTGCCAAAGGCGCCCATGGTATTCATCGTCTCTCCGTTTAGCAGGGCCGTCATCCCAATGCCTTCTGTCATGCCCGCATCCCCTTCAGCTCCTGGTGACAGATGTTCTCGGGCGTCTGAGAACTCTAGGTCATCGTCATCTGCGTCATCGCCGCCGGGGAACGGCAGACCGTCATCCTGGAAGAAGTCGGCGTCGTAATCCCCTTGAGGCAGGGCATTATCCTCGGGGGCCTTCTGCTGTGCCCAAAACGCCTCATCCAGTTCCCCTGCTGGTTGATGATTGCTATCCTGAGCGCCATAGCCTTGGCCACCCGTGCGCGCACCGAATTTGGTCCGTCTCTCAGCCAGGCGTGATTTGGGTTTGAGGAAGAGATTCAGCAAGACCTTGGAGGTGAAATGCTTGTCGTCAGGCAGCAGGTTCCGGGATTTTGATTTCCAATCCTTCTTGGGCAGACAGACCGCTGAGTTGCTGGAGGCTTGAGTGTAGATGACATCGGACTGGCTGGGGCTAAGGGGCGCATGGAAATCAATCTCGAAAGGCTCCTTCTCCTTGCGCTTCTTCGACTCTCCTGCTGGCTTGTTGACGTCTTTGATCTTGCGAATCCGCCAATGTTCCGCACTGGCCCAATTCTTCTGTAATGCCTGGTCGAAAAAGCTCAGGATATCTTGATGCACCTTGTCGGCATTCTGCGAGTTGCCCATGGACACGATATACTCGCCATTTTCATCGAAACCCTCCCCGTCTCCGCCTTCGGCGCCATCTAGACCCGCGTCATATACACGCATCTGAGGCTCGAGAGCAGCCTCACGAGCCCAGGCTTCACCACCCTCGCCGAAAGCGACATCACCGGCAGCGTCAAAATTCCCCAGGCCCAGGTCGTCGTCGTCAAAGCCGGCTGGCGCATCTTCGTCGATGAACATGCCAGATTTATCACCCCGGGCGCCGAAGCTCTTGTCCTTGTCCTGGTCTTGTCTCCAGTCTTCCGGAGCCTTGAGAAAGGGGATATCCATGGAGCCGGAGGGATCTCCCAGTTCGAAACTCTTCAATGAAGGGCAGATATCAAGTTCGTCTAGCAGGCTTAGATCAGGAAAGAACCGTTGGGCGAGAGCTGCAACGTCAATCTTCACGTCGTCGGTGGCGTCTGCATCGGCATTGGGGTCGGCGTCGGTGTTGGCGTCGGCATCCATATCGACATCGACATCCATCATCTCCTGGTCACCGTCTCCATCCTGATACTGAGCCCTGTTTCTCTGCGACTGACTTTGCTCGGGACCTCCGTCATCTTCCTCGTTCCCATCTTCATCTAGCTGGCCCTCTTTCTTCTTGTCGTCCGCATCACCAGCATCATCGCTGCTGTCGAAGACAATGCGGCCCTGCGAGTCGATCATGAGGTGATTAAGTAACAGGCCCTTGGCACCCCCCTCGTCGAAGTCGGCGGAGGCCTTCTTGAAAAGGGGATCGACGGCGAATTCGAGTTCGAATTTCTTGAGCTGTAGGGAGGCAAATGATGGCGCTAGTGTTGCCTCGGACGATCTCTGTACCTGATTGATGGCACACGCCGGTTAGTTCAAAGAAGGATTCCTTCCAATCTCTCGACAGGCTCTCTTGTTACCTTCTTCTTCGTCTTCTTCTTGACATTGCCATTTTCATCGACCTCTTCCTCGCTCTCCTCGCCTTCGGCAGCCCCGTCTTCAGCATCGCGATCCTTCTTTTTGTTGTTGCTGTCTGCAAGGCCGCTCAGGAGCTTGCCAGTCTCGGTTGCGACGCTGTCGATTCGATTCGTGTAGATCTTGACACAACCGTCCAGTGTGCAGCTCGCCTTCTGGAAGTTCACACCGTCACCTTCCTTGAGCAGGGACATGTCGTGGAAGTAGTCGATGAGGGCAAAGTTCCACGAGTTGGTGGCGTTGATCTTGTTGTCGGTGGCCATCTTCATCCACTCCTCAAAGTTGGCCAAAAGGGGAACGCGCTTCATGGGCGTCACTGACACTCCTCCGACCATGATGGGATCCTCGTCGTCCACCAACCCCCTGCCCCCTCGAGGTGTGCCGCCTTGCGAAGCATTTTCCAAGTCTTCCAGCCGCGCAAGGCTCCTCCGTGGTGTGGCCGCCCTTTTGATCTCGTTTATCTGCTTCTCTTGAAGAGCTTTCCTGTTGTTCATCCGCTGGCCCTTTTCTTGCGCATCGTCGTTGAGGGGGATTCTGTCGCACATTATCCGCATTAGAAAGCGCTGCAGTGAGGGGTGCTCTGGTAGGGATTCATGATGCTCACTTGATGGGCGAATTATAGGGCGAGCCGGTCGGCTTGCCGCCACCGGCGCGTGGCATCTGAGCAACTCGAGGCATTTTGGAAGACGCTCTTGGCTGGCTGGGCGTCTAGAGCTTATTCTCAGATATGCGAGGCAAAGCCTCCGTCGCGTGTCGATTCGGCCTTGATTTTTGTTTACTGTTGACTTTCCAAGGTAAACGCGAAACAGGTAGCTCCCCGCATCAGCCACACTTGTACGCCACGCCCTCCATCGAGACCCAATGAGACTGTGGACTTCGGTAAGCCGCTTGCGCCACGGGCCATGCGCCACGCCTGACTGCAACTGAGGTACCGCTTCGGACATGAATAAGGTACCGCAAGGTACCTGAGCCTGAAGCAGCACAGTCAGAACCCAATGGGGCCATGTTGCCACCAAGCTGATTTTCTTCAGATGACGGTATGAGCTCTCAGGAGGCATATTGGTCGCTTGCTTTCGAGGCGCCGGCCAGGCAATATTACGACTTTCTATATTATCCTAGACTTATAGCTTCTGGCCTTGTAAAACACGAAGCTTTGTGTACACGCAAGTGCCAGTACCGGTACCTGTACCTGTACCTTGAGACTGGAGTGTCAGCCACTTTCAAGGCTGCCACGCGAGCCCGCTTCCTGTTCCCCGGAGCTCAGAAAAAGGTCCCCCCAGATTGAATCCAGGGAGACGCACCGCACCGCCACACTCGACTAACGTAATCGGGCTGCTGGGGCGCATCGTCGTCATTCCACTCTCATATCACAGCAACCCACAACCGATGGGACGATCGTGCTCGTCCATTATCACGGCCAGAGCGCCCAACTCGCCTCGAGCAACTCTGTCGACGCAAGCCCGCGACATGTCGATGCGACCAGCATGCGGACAACAAACGCCAGACGGGGCCGTTTGAGCTCCCGGCCCTTCTACACCACTATCCTGCTAATGTCGGTGCTGGCCGCGTACTCTTTTTGGGCACAGACGTCACAGAGACAGCACCAAAACCATCACCATCACCTAGGCGAGAGTCAACATGGCCTGGAGCTGCTCAGGCGCTCCGGCGACAAGCCCGAGTGTCGCCAGGTGCACACTGCCCAAGACAAGTGCGCCTTTGTCAAGTCCTACTGCCACGACGAGGATGCCGGGCTTCTTCCCTACCTCCAGCTTTACTACTGCAGGCTGGGCAATGCGCAGCCATTTGCCTTTGTCCTCCTGGTGACGTGGCTGGGGCTCTTGTTCACCACGATCGGCATCGCGGCGAGCGACTTCTTCAGCGTCAACCTTAGCACGATTGCGACCATTCTCGGCCTCAGCGAAAGCCTTGCCGGCGTCACGTTCCTCGCCTTTGGCAATGGCTCTCCCGATGTCTTTAGCACCTTTGCAGCCATGAGGTCTAACAGCGCGAGCATGGCTGTCGGCGAGCTAATCGGCGCTGCCAGCTTCATCACGGGCGTCGTGGCGGGCTCGATGGCTCTGGTCAGAGAGTTCAGGGTAGACCGGCGGACTTACGCCAGGGATATATGCTTCTTCATCGTTGCGGTCGCCTTTACTATGGGCTTTTTGGCCGACGGGCAGCTGCGATTCTGGGAGTGTTGCGCCATGATTGGATATTACCTTCTATACGTCGTCACTGTTGTTGGGTGGCATTGGTACACCACAAGGAGGAAGCGTTTGCTGCGCATAGAAGGAGAGGCACGCAGCCACTTTTATGGGCTGCCTGGTCACAGCGGCGATGAGCTGGCTGGCGAACCCTACCGAGACGAGCCCGACGAAGTGAGCCAGGAGGTAGAGAGGCATGCGCCAAGCACAATTGGGGACAGCATCCTGTCGGCGTTGGAGCGCGGCCCAATCATCGAGGTCGACGGTCAGGCAGCTGAGACGCCCATGAGCGAGGAAAGCGCAGAAACGGACGAAGACCACGAGAGAATGGTTGCGGCGGAGGTGACACGAAGCATGCGAGTCTTGCGTCCTCAGGGGAGGCGGAGAAACACAATCACGCCGATTCGACCCAGTCTGATCGGAGCATTGGAGTTCAGGTCTGCCCTGGCACATTTGCAGCGTGAGAGCAACCTCCAGCTCTCACCTATTCCGGCCAGGAGCTACTCCGAAAACCACGTCTACAGAGGGCGGAGAGGTAGTACAAGCGCCCTCTCTGACATGGTACCTCCCATGCAGCGGCATGCTTCGACTTATGATGCCACGACGGCCAGTGGGAGAGAGAGAGCCAGGTCGCACGGGACAGCCCCAGTCTCATCATCTGTGCCCGAAGACTTGTTGATCTCCGTGCAAGATGATTCCGATTCCAGTCTGGCTCCTCCTCACGACGGTACTGGCAGCCAAAGAACGGCGAGCCCTGCACCATCGTACCAGATCGACGGCAAATTGGCGCCCCCTCCCATCGACTCGACAGGAGCGGCGGCTGGTGGCCATCATCTGCCCCCGCTTGGGGAAACCCCCACGCCTCGTCTCCAGCTGCAGATACCAACTCGGCGCGGCAGCTTGAGTAGTACAACGTCTCCTGTCCTGCCCTTTCCTCATTATAGCGACTCTCCCATGCCCATGACGCCAAATACGCAGCCAGAGCAAGTCGGATTCAGCACGCTCCCGCCTTCAGCTACTGTGCGCGAAAGCCCATTCGCCGCTTTGGGCAGTACAGAGGCCGCCTCACGGCCGGTTAGATGGTGGCCATACTCGTTTCTCCCCGCGCCGCACGTTCTCCTTGCTACCCTGTTCCCGACATTGCAAGGGTGGAGAGAAAAGGCATTGTGGGACAAGCTTATTAGCATCATATCTGTACCAAGCATCTTTCTGTTGGTTATAACGCTCCCGGTTGTCGAGTCGGAAACGTCTGGGGAATCCGAGTCTCTAGACGATGGTGTCTCCTACATCTCTGGCCATGGGAGGATTGGACGTTCAGCCCCACCCATCTCGATCCAGCCCGGCGAGATCGAACCCGAGAATGAATGGGAGCGGTTCCGGAGGTATTCGATGCAACGCCGAAATAGCGATGCAATGACTGGGAGCGTTCGGACACCCCTCTTGGAACTGCCGAACGAAGACGCCTTGGGCATATCTCCTCGTACCCATGAGCCTGGCGCGCCCAAGCCCCTGTCCGAGGTTCGATCCGTTAGCCAAGGAAGCCAGGAGAAGCTGGGATGGAACCGCTGGCTGGTCTGCCTCCAGCTCTTCACAGGGCCGCTTTTCGTCGTCTTGATCGTCTGGGCAAATCTATCGGAGGACTGGGCAGACCCCAAGGGCACGCTGGTGCGCATGATTCTGTGGACGCTCCTCGGATCGCTAATTTTGCTGGCGGCCTTGCTCATGCTTACTTCGGAGCAGAAGCGCCCTGATAGCCACTTTCTGTTTTGCTTTCTGGGATTCATCATCAGCATAGCCTGGATATCGACTGTGGCTGGCGAGGTTGTGGGTGTTTTGAAAACGTTTGGCGTGGTCTTGGGCATCTCCGAGGCTCTACTTGGTCTCACCATTTTCGCGGCTGGCAACAGCGTGGGCGATCTTGTGGCAGATATCACGGTGGCTCGACTGGGATACCCCGTCATGGCATTGTAAGTACAGCGGATTCGACTTTCTTCTTCTGCTTCTGGTTGCTGACTGAGACTGTTTGCTTCAGGTCTGCCTGCTTTGGAGGGCCCATGCTCAACATCCTGCTTGGCATAGGCGTAGGCGGTGTCTTGATGATGGTCGAAGCCGCAAACCACCACAAGCACAAGCACCCGGGCGATGATTACGCGTACCAGCCGTATCGGATCCAGATAGGGGGCACCCTGATGATTTCGTCCATCACGCTGCTCGTGATCCTCGTCGGGTTGCTCATCGCCGTGCCTCTGAACAAGTGGATTCTGAGCCGCAGGATCGGCTGGGCACTGATTGCCATCTGGTCGGCCAGCACCATTGCCAACGTGGTTGTTGAGATGACGGGTGCACTCAAGGATTTCGATTGAAACCGACGCGCGAGGAAGAAGTGTGTTTATGAAGTATTGCTAGGCATGTATTGTCACACTTGTATGGGCTTTACGACGTTTGTGAGAATGACGCTACGGCTGGGAATATCGATGTGATGCATCGTTACGAGCATGATTTGTTCTGAAGCATCGCTGCTTGTACAGCACTCTTCTTGGGTTACTGTCTTGTCTTTGATACCAGTTACATTACATACATACATGGAATACCGGCTTTGTACTTGTATTCGCAGCAGCAGCATAGCTTCAGTACCTTAGTCCTAACGAGAGTTTGAACTTCCAATAGAGAGTCTCGCTGTCATGGCTGTCTCGGCCGCGTCACAAAATAACCTAGATGGTCGGTGATGATGCTCATTGTGTGACTACGTGTCCAACAAATACATGTATCTGGTCCTGAGGATTCTAGGGTGACTCACTAGAAGCGTGTTCCATAGTATACTTCAAACAGAGGCTGTGTATATCCTCCAATTCCACCACGGCCAGCTGATCAATTGGATCCATGAACCGCTTTGCCAATGAACAACCGCCCAGTATCCCACATCTCTTTACATGTCCTTCCACTACCAGCGAACCGCAGCCAAAGTGGTTGGAATTGAAACGTGGCTCGTATGCTGAAATTAGTGGCTCATCACCAGATGTCGTTTCATTTCCAGGCACTGCCACCCCTTGTAAGAGGCTGTCGGATCGATCGCCCTGTAAATACAGTGGGCACCGGAGGGACACGGCAGCCCTGGAGCGCATCTAATAGCGCCAGCGCACTAAACACGAGCTGCAGCCAATGGGAGGATGCACTGGGCCTTGACCGCCCGGCGATTCTGACCCCTCAGGTTCGACATCCCGCTTGTCTTACATGTTCAGAACCTTTGCGCGAACTTCGAGATAACCTCAACCTGTTGTCTTCTTTCCTCCCAAATTTGCATATATTCCTCCTCTTCTCCTCCAATTCGACTTTCTGATACCTCCTCGATCAACCTCTATACTATACGTCTCTTTCCTATCATCATTCTCTACTTCCACTAATTGCCCGCCATGTCTGTTCCTACTTACCCCCCTCTTGAGGAGCGTCCTCTCAAGGACACCATCTGCCTCTTTGACGTCGACGGCACGTTGACTCCCGCTCGTCTTGTAAGTCAACACACCTCCAGCTCTCCCAATTGCTTCATACGGTCTATTTCGGCTCTCTCCATCACCTCACAATTGCCACCACCTCCACCCAGCTTTCCCGAACCCTCACTAACTCAAACCTCTTTTCCCCTTGATCAAAACAGGACGCCTCCCCCGAGATGCTCTCCCTCCTCCAGTCCCTCCGCCAAAAGTGCGCCATCGGCTTCGTCGGCGGCTCCGACCTCGTCAAGCAGGAGGAGCAGCTCGGCAAGCCCGCCGGCGCGCCCGTCACCTCCCTCTTCGACTTCTGCTTCGCCGAAAACGGCCTGACGGCGTACAAGCTCGGCCAGCCCCTCGCCTCCAACAGCTTCATCCGCTGGATCGGCGAGCCCCAGTACAAGGAGCTCGTCAACTTCTGCCTGCACTACATCGCCGACCTCGACATCCCCGTCAAGAGGGGCACCTTTGTCGAGTTCCGCAACGGCATGATCAACGTCAGCCCCGTCGGCAGGAACGCCAGCACCCAGGAGAGGAACGACTTCGAGGCCTTTGACAAGGAGGCAAAGGTCAGGCAGAAGTTTGTCGCTGCTCTCAGGGAGCGCTTCGGACACCTCGGTCTCACGTACGTCCTTCCTTTCCCTTCACACAATCCTGCCCCCCTTCCTCGTCTCTCTCTCTCTCTCTCTCTCTCTCTCTCTCTCTCTCCCTCATATAAACCTTTAACTAACATTCTTTGTTTCTCCCTCTCTAGCTTCTCCATCGGCGGCCAAATCTCCTTCGACGTCTTCCCCAACGGCTGGGACAAGACATACTGCCTGCAGCACCTCGAGAACGAGGCCAAGAAGCCCGACGGCATCGCTTACAAGAACATCCACTTCTTCGGCGACAAGACCTTTGAGGGCGGCAACGACTGGGAGATTTTCAACGACCCCAGAACCATTGGCCACTCTGTCAAGGGCCCCGAGGATACCATGCGCATCCTGAAAGAGCTGTTCGATATCTAGATTCTTTTCTTCTTCTTCTTTTTCCCTTTCTTTTCTACTTCTTCGTACATCTGGCGAGAGAAGAGTGAGCGACTCCTTTCTCCGTTGAAATTACAAAACATGTTCTTCGGCCATGGTGCCGTCGGATGAGAATCTAGATATATACCAAGAATACCAAGATGAACCCACATTCACAGTAATTCCTCTTCTATTCAAGATTGCATCTGCTTTCTGCTTGTTTCCTGGCAGCGAAGCTATCGGTAGCGCCACGCACATGCTCAAAACGGATAACAATAATCAAAGCAGCTTTCGTTCATCTTAATATATACAAAAATCATGATATAAATGGCAACAAGATGTTCTCCCCCTGGCGTTATTGGATAGGTAGCCACCTGTGTTTCCTCCTCTTTCCTCCTATCTCGCCTCACTCACCACACTTGTTTGACTCCTCACTCATCACGCGCACGCACAAGCGCTCCTGAAACCTTTACCGTCCATACTCCAGGTGAGGAATGATCACAGGCCCATACTTGGTCGTAGCCGTGTAGGCACCATCTCCCTGCACCACAAAGTCAACCGCCAGACTCAACCGCGACAGGCCCTGCTGCTGGCTGTGGATGCTAGGGTTGGGACTGAACGGCGCTTGACTCTGCGCCATGACAGCATCGTGATCGTACGCAACAAAAGCCACGTAGTTCCTGCGGCCCATGAGCTTTTTCAGCTCCCTCGTCGCTCCGCTGGCGTCGGTGTGGAAGATCTCCATCATGTCTTCCTTGGTGTCGGACACCTCGTGCGTGGACTTCTGCCCATTTTGTGGCACGTAGAGCATCTTGTTGTTGTGGAGCAGCTTCAAGACGTAGGAGCTCTGGGGCGCGGATACGATGGGCGAGGTGATGATCTGGTACATTGTCTTGTGGTCTCCGGGGTGAGTTGGGTCGTGCACAAGGCCAGCCCCTGCACAGTTGACGTCTGCACGAGTGAATTAGCACCCGTTGTACCAGTATATAGTGGAACAGGAAGAAAAGAAGGTTATTAGAAGCTTACCTCCAGACAGGAACGTCATGCGGACACCCTTCTGCTGTGAGATGCCCTGGAGCGTTCGGATAAAGTATGTCCTCTCGAGATCCTTGGAGTCATGCGTCCACATGTCCTTGAGCACCTCCTGAATGTCCAGCTCACCAAACTGGTTGAGGACGTTGCCCATGAGCCCAGATTTGCCAACGGCCTTCTTGACCTGGTTGAAGCCCTGGGCCACCACCTCCTTGCCGCCCACAACGCCGGCGACGGAACTTGTGACTTTGCCCAGGATGTTGTATGTTGTGTTGACGGCCTTCTTTCCCGCGGCAACGGTGTTGGCCAAGCTCTCCACGGTGTCTAGTCGGGGATAAATCAGGGGAACTGCTACCATCCAAATGACATGTTGTACGCTGGGTGGTAGGGTCGCGACCTTGGGGAAGATGCCCTGGTACGTAGGCCCAGCCATCACCCGAGCCTGAGTTCGCTCGGATCGGCAGTCCAGTCCAACAACGGTCACTGCCGGGCCAAGGTACTTGACGAAGTGCCACCCAGTACCCGTGATTGTAAAGATGTCATGGTCAGTGCTGACATTGCGCATCATTTCAACCGTGGTATGATGCTGGAACAACAGGTACATGTCCATTGCGATACGCCCTGTGTTCTTGAAAATGGCGGATGATTGCATATAGTCAGGGTATGAACCGTATCCGTCAAAGCTATCGATCGACTGTCAGATATGTACCGCAAACAAGCTTCAGTCTCGCACTTACATGTCATGGTCGTCAATCTGCAGAACGTGAGGAATCTGAGCAAAGGCCTCTCGCAGATACGGCTGGTCAAAGTGGCTCGTATAGTAATGGAAGTAAGCATGGCTGACGTCCTCCTCGTGACGGGCAGTCCACTGCGTGTTCCTCTTGTTGTCTCTTCCGCTCATCGCGAGCCATTGCTTCATCAGCGGCACCTCCCTCCATAGTCGATCGCCGTAGATCTGATCACCCAAGCCGAGCTGTACGTGAAACCCGCCGCACTCCACATTCTTCTGGAGGACGTCTTTCCACATGAAGCCAACGCCGCCCAGCTTGGAGCGCTCATTCTGGGACGTGCTGACGGCGAAGTCGTTACCAGAATGGGCAATGAATCGCCATCCTGTCTCATGCCTTCCGGCGACGATGAACTCGTAACGCGTACATCCAAGGTGGGACGTGACTGCATAAGTCCATCGGTCGGTGACTTCTCCCATCTCGATATCGATATCGTATTTGAAAAAGGTCCAGCGTTGGTGGACGTGAATCGCGTGAGGGATCAGCTGCTTGGGGTTTGGCGAGAGATCCATGCTCTGGTGTAAGTGAATGGTAGGTGGCTGAGGAGCATCGGTGACGATGAGAATGCTGCCGAACCAGTGTCCAGTCTCGATGTTCATGTTGACGTATTTCAAGTAAGGCCCAAAGTAGACTCCATTCGTCGGCTGGATCCTGTACATGTCCACACCGGCGCTCGGTGGTGGCCCCGTGAAGCCGACAGTCGGGGCTTGTGAGGCCGCAACGCTCATAATGCTTTCAGCGTATCCTGGCGTGTGCGGAGGGAACATGGGAGAGGCCATGGGTGTCTTGCCAAACATGGGGGAAGCCAGGGGGTTCCCGTATGTAGAGGCTGTGGGCGACAGAGGGGCTTGCTCATGTTGGATAGGATTCGGGCCCTTTGGAAATTCCCATTGCGTCGCCTGCGTTGCTAGATGGATGTAGTAGTACTGTCCCGAATTCTGGTCCAGGTGGGCAATCCAGCCCTCGGGCAAAGGCGGAGGCGAGGCCGGGCCGGCTGCTGCGAGATTCGGAGGCACAGAGACAACCTGCGCATGCTGGATAACTGGCTCGGGCCTGGGATCGTTTGCAAACGCAGGATGGCCCTGGTTATGGGGAGCTGTTGAGCTGAGGCCGGCAGCGGCAGCAGCAGTGGCCGCCGCCGTAGCCGCAGCCACCACAGTATCTTTGCCTGGCGGTGCCGAGGCGGACGCAGAAGCTTGGGGCGGAACGGCAGCGGGGGTAGCAGAGGGGCCAGGTGTTTGGTTGGCTTGCTGTGGCCGCTGTTTCTCATTGGGATAAGACGTTCGCCCGCTAGGGTTCACACTCGAGTAAGCTGGCGGAGGAGAGCTGGTGGACATGCGCTGGAAGTCCTGCTCCAGGACACTGACTTGAGGCGGAGCGTTGGCCTGGTTCTGAGCTGGGTGTTGCTGAGGAGGAGGGCTGCTGACTGGGTGCTGCGGCTGGGGAGAAGAAACCGGGTTCATGCCCTGATACACAGTTGGGGGACCAGACGGGGCTTGATCGGGAGACTCTGTTGGTGTCCAAGGGCGCTGAGGCTGGGGCTGCTGGTTGTTGTAATGTGCCAACCTTTGCGCGGCCGCGGCACTCTGAACCTGGGCGGTCTGGAGGCTGGTGAGGGTTGCTGTGCCCGAGATGCCCGAAGCCGCATACCGGGCTTCGATGCCTCCTCCCGGCACGCTTCCGGGCCCTACGATGGGAGTCTCCGGGGGCGGAGGCGAGCCCCGGCTAGCTCTAGTTGTCGAGTTCGATGCCGTAGAAGCGAACCGATTCACACCGGAATCACTGGCAGCCAGATGGTCTGCCGTGGGGACCTTGGGAGGCTGCTGCGGCGCATGGGGCTGGGGCTGCTCGTAGGATTGCGGCTGCTGATACTGCTGGTAGTGCTGCGGCTGTTGGTATTGCTGAGGCTGCGCTGATGCGCTGCCCGAGGGCCCGGACGACGAAGCTCCCGGAGGCGGGTAGTACGTCTTCTGGTAGGTCGGGTAGTTTGTTGTCGAAGCAGCAGGCTTGTCTTGCAGCGGCTTCGCAAAGAGGCCATAATCAGTATCGGGACTGGACGGAGAGTGGATGGGCTTGGGCGCTGCGCCGCGCCTCTCGGCCAGACCTGGCTTCTTCTCGGCGCCGACATTGGTGTCCAGCCTCGGGCTCGTATCGTTGTAGGAAGAGTCGTTGTAGGCAGAGCCGTAGGGCTTGGGAGCAGTCGGCTTTGGAATAGTCGGCTTGTGAATGTCGTCGTCATCCGGGAATGGCAGAGGCGCGGCAGAGCTCGACGCACCGGGCGGCAGCGGGAAGGTCGGTCTGTTGGAGGAGGTCGAGGACACGCGAGAATAAGGCTCGGGGCTCTGCGGCTTGAAGATGCGCAACGGCTCGACGGTCGGGCTGTCGCAGTCTTCTGGCGCGGGCTTGCTCAGAAACAGCTCCGAGTCGGGGACGCCACGGCTGCGCTCCATCTTGAACCGACCGCGAGACGAGGCGATAGTCTGCCTTATGGCAATCGTCAGAGAATGCACGTAGAGAATCGAGCAGATGGAGGAGAAGGGGGTGCTTACTCGTATCAGAGGTGAAGACGGCGGCGGGGAAAGCCAAAGGCTAGAGTGCTCTACAAGCAGTCGTCGAAGGCTCAAGTGTCCTCTGCAGAAGTCGAGAGAAGAGCAAGCCGGGCAAAAGCAATCAAGAACAAGTCGAGTATCGTCAAACTACTCGTTTGTTTGGGCGCTCTGTACTCTGCTCTGCCTCGTCGGTATCTCGTTAGCAGTTGTGGCGGCACAGAAGATGGTGGCGGGGTTGACGCTCGACGTACCTGGTACTAGCCCCTCTAGCTTCGAGCTGGTGGTTCTCCAATGACGGACGGGTCGCAGAACTGGCCGCACGGCCCGCTGCAACAGAAGCTGGGCTTGTAGGTATAAGTGAGATGCCGGGACCAGATAACGGCAGGGAAACAATACGAGAGCTGGAGGATGCAGGTTGGTTCGTGATGGAGGAGAGTAGGAGAGATGGTAGCTGACGAGAAAAGAAGAAACATGGCACGAGGAGGAAGTCGGCGCCAAAAATGGATGGCTTATTATTGCAGAGCTTCAAGGTTATTGATTGATTTTGCTGCCCAAGTTCAAATGGCGCTCTTCACAAGACCCGAACGGATCCCAAGGGCTACCCAGGCACGACTTCGTGCCGCTGCCGAACCAC